ACGCTCAAGGTCAGAGTCGAAATCAGCCTGTGCAGAGTGAGATCCTGTCTCTACTAAAATAGAAAGAAAATGGTTTCAACTAAAAATATATAGAAAATTAGCTGGCCAGGTGGCACATGCCTGTAGTCTCAGCTACTTGAGAGCGTGAGGCAGTAGATCGCTGGAGCCCAGGAGTTGAATTGCTGTGAGCTAGCTGGGACGCTACGGCACCTAGCCAGGGCAACGGAGTGAGACTCTGTCTCAAAAAAAAAAAAAGAAAAAAAACACAAAGTCTCTAACTCAGTGAGCATGGAAGGAAAATTTGGAGCAATTACCAATAAGAAAAAAAGGCGGGCTGTGGCTCTCGCCGTAACCTAGCACTACTGAGCTGAGCGGGGTGATAGCTCGAGTAGGAGTTCAAAAAGCAGCTGAGCAAGAACCCGCTCGACTGAAAATAGAAGAAATTAATTGACCACAAATACTAATAAAATAGCCAGCATGGTGGCCAGCGTAGTCCAGCGTCGGAGGCTGAGGGGGTAGTGCTTTGAGCCCAGGAGTGAAGGTTGCGGAGCTAGGGCTGACGCATGGCCACTCCACTCTAGGCCGGGCACAAAGTGAGGACCTGTCTCAAAAAAAAAAAAAAAAAAGTGAGGACTCGGTTCACGGCTCAAAAAAACAATGCCAATTAATTTCTTTCTATTTTTAGTAGAGACAGGATCTCACTCTTGCACAGGCTGATTTCGAACTCCTGACCTTGAGCGATCCTCCCACCTTGGCCTCCCAGAATTCTAGAATTACAGAATTCTAGGATTAGAGAGTTCTGGGATTACAGAGTTCTAGGATTATAGCTACCACACCTAGCCAGAGCCAGAGACTTTTGAAGCCCATTCCCTACCCCCCTTTTCCCCCTTTTGAACTGTTATTTTATAATCCCCGAGTAGTATATTAACCCAGAGTGCAAAAGTTCTCCTTTATACTTCAATGCATAATAATCTTTCTATGTTAAAGTAACAAAAAAAAAACCCTAGAGTATTAAGGCTTCTGATTTTCCTTTGGGATGTGACTATAATACTTCAGGAGTTGCCTTAAGTGCATACTTAATTATTATTATTTTTTACACTAGTCTTATCTCATTTTGGAGGGTATGAATTTAAGGGGTACACATAATTATCATAGTTGGTAATTATGTTTAAAGCATTTCTACATATTTCTGTTCAGGTGAAAAGCTTCAGGTGCTAAAAGCCAAACTTCAAGAAGCAATGAAACTCCGAAGGTTTGAGGAACGCCAAAAGCGCCAAGCATTATTTAAATTAGATAATGAAGATGGGTTTGAGGAAGAGGAGGAGGAAGAAGAAATGACTGAGGAATCTGAGGAAGATGGAGAAGAGGAGGTAGAGAAAGAAGAGGAGGAAGAGGAAGAACTAGAAGAAGAGGAGGTGAAAGAAGAGGGAGAAGACGAAGGCAATCCGGAGGTTTCTGGCAATTATGCAATTTTGTTATGCATGATGAATAAGAGAAAGAGAAAATCAGATTTGAATAAGAATATAATAAGCATGTTCAGTTGTATAAGAGTTTTTAGGGGCATGGATGAAGGTAGCTACCTCATATGTACCTAAATCTTAGTGCATTCTGCTCTGACAGTACCATTAAACACCTGCAGTTCACAGAGCCCATAGCCTTGGCTTCTACCTGTTAGTCTATATATTTTAATATAATGCTAATATTGAAAATGGTTTTGTATAAATAGGAAGTTTTTTCTTTATTGTTTATTTCAATTAAAAAGCAATCTTAATCTTAGCCAGATTGAGGTCTGTAATAAATTCTCAGGGAGGTAGAGGCCTTCCTGAGTTAATCTCAGTCTTTCTTTTATTTGAAACAAAGTCTCACTCTTGTTCCCCTGGCTAAAGTACAGTGGCATCATAATAACTCTTTGCAACCTCAAACTCTGGGGCTGAAGCTATCTTCCTGCTTCAGCCTGCCAAGTAGCTGGGACTACAGATGTGCGCCACCGTGCCTGGCTAATTTTTTCTGTTTTAGTAGAGATGGGGTCTTGCTCTTGCTCAGGTTGTTCTTCAACTCCTGACCTCGAGCAATCCTCCTACCTCGGCCTCCCAGAGGCTAGGATGACAGGTGTGAGCCACCACACCGGGCCAATTTCATTCTTTCTTAAAGAGGGTGTTTGTTGAAGGGCCTCTGGCCCTTGTTCCACATAATATTGTTTTCTGCCTAGGGAAGACAGGTGATGATATGATTGTTAGGTATTAAAAAGCTTTCCTTTTTGTTGCTAGAGTCACTTGAAAGAGTTGATTAATATTTAACTTTGAGTAAAAGAGAAAAAGCAATGGCTAAGCTGGACAGCCTGTCCCAGTCTGGTTGGTTTGAGGTCAGTAGTCAGCCTACAATCTTAGACTAATATTATTAGACTAATCATTTAACCTTTTATTGCCTCAATAAAATCACAGTCCAATCTTCCTTCGTAGCCTTATAGCAACCTGGGGAAGGTAAAAGGTAAAAAAATAAGTATAAAAGAGCTTTAGAAGTATCAGGGGAAATTATGTTGATGATAATGGTCATATGGAGCTTTCTTCAAGTTTACCTTTTCAGATTTAAGCTGTGATCTATAATCAAGCAGCCATATTTCAGGCTAACTGTATTTACTTTCAAATTTTTGACTTATATTATTTTGTTTTTTGGTGGCATGATTGGTAAAGATTGCAGAACTCCTTCTTAGTAGTGAAGAAACAGAAACCAAAGATGAAAAAGAAATGGATAAAGAAAATAATGATGGCAGTAGTAAAATTGGCAAGTCAGTTGGCTTTCTGTCTGTTCCGAAGCCTCTCTCATCAGATTCTACCCTACTTCTATTTAAGGACAACTCTTCCAAGATGGGGTAAATAATTTTCTCTAAGGAAATAAAAAATTCCTTTGGACTTGCCCCCTTAGTAAAAAATAGGAACAGATACTGAAACAATTTACCTTCTTATTTTGTAGTTACTTTCCTACTGAAGAAAAATCAGAAACAGATGAAAACTCAGGCAAACAGCCTAGCAAACTGGGTAAGTAGTGACTCTTGTGCCGAACTAGACATTTCTCAGTCCTCCAGCTTTAATATTTAAGGACTACAATTCCATAAAATTCCATTTTTTTAAATCTGGCTACTTTTCCCAGTCTTACATGTGGTAATAGAAGGGGTTTATGAATTAGAATATTTTTCTTGGTCCATTTTATTAAAACTTACATATTTCTTTATAATAGACCATGGGCTTATATTATAGTAGTATATGTATGTTGGTGAATACATGTTAATTGAATAAACCATGAAATATTTCTGTCTGTGGATTAAAGGAAGATGTGTTAGATAATGAAGAAAGTGATCAAAGGCATTAGGCAGAGTAAGAGAAAGAGAAGAACCTTCAAGTGTCACTTAGCTCAGAGTAATAAGCCCTGATTAGGTAATGCTATCCTAGTACTGTAGTTTACTTTTAACTTTATGTTTTGGAACATGCATTATAACTTGAGGGGTTTACCTATGAATTGTATCTGTCAGTTTGCTTTTTTTTTGTTTGTTTTGGTTTGGTTTGGTTTTTTGTCTTTTCTCCAAAATCAAAGAGCATTTATCTGTCAGTTTGAACCTCAACTCTTTTTCCTAAACAAATCCACCAAATCCACCTTATTTCTGTAATCATACACTTAAAAGGTATTTCTCGGCCGGGCGCGGTGGCTCACGCCTGTAATCCTAGCTCTTGGGAGGCCGAGGCGGGCGGATTGCTCAAGGTCAGGAGTTCAAAACCAGCCTGAGCAAGAGCGAGACCCCGTCTCTACTATAAATAGAAAGAAATTAATTGGCCAACTGATATATATATAAAAAATTAGCCGGGCATGGTGGCGTGTGCCTGTAGTCCCAGCTACTCGGTAGGAGGCTGAGGCAGAAGGATCGCTCGAGCCCAGGAGTTTGAGGTTGCTGTGAGCTAGGCTGACGCCACAGCACTCACTCTAGCCTGGACAACAAAGCGAGACTCTGTCTCAAAAAAAAAAAAAAAAAAGGTATTTCTCTTTTTTAGATGAAGATGATTCATGTTCATTGCTAACAAAGGAGAGCAGCCACAATAGCAGCTTTGAGCTGATTGGCTCCACGATTCCATCCTATCAGCCTTGCAACAGACAAACAGGCCGTGGGACCAGTTTTTTCCCTACAGCAGGAGGATTCAGATCTCCTTCCCCGGGGCTATTTCGAGCCAGTTTGGTCAGCTCAGCTTCTAAGGTAAGATGGTAATAGTTTTCTAATCTCCTCCTCTCTTTGCTTCCCACATTGCTAAATAAAGTGTGTCCCAGCCAACCGACTCCCACCACATTGGTACTGAGCTTATATGTGTTCAGTTTTAAAAATCCACCCCCTTTGTGTATTAAAAACAAGCTTCATCCACTGTTCTTTCTTGGAGGTATTTTTCTTTATGCTTTTCTTGGCTATGCATTGTCCTCCTCAACTGCAATTGCCTGAGAGTACATTAAATGTTGCAAATAGCAACTTCTGTTGTTGTCATGACAGTGAATGACATTTGTAAAATGTTTTGTTATTGTTTGTTTTTGTTTTGGTGCCAGAGTTCAGGGAAACTGTCTGAGCCTTCACTTCCCATAGAGGATTCCCAGGATCTGTATAACGCCTCCCCAGAACCTAAGACACTTTTCCTAGGAGCAGGAGACTTCCAGTTCTGTTTAGAAGATGACACTCAGAGCCAACTGTTGGATGCAGATGGGTAGGTAGTTTTGTGTTTCTGTGGGTGGGAATGGTGCTGGGTACTGCTTAATTTTGTTTAAAAATAAAGTGAGCTTCTGTCACTCCATCTGTGCTTTCTCTTCTGAGAAAGAGAAGGTGTACAGACCATTAGTATTACATTCTACAAGTTTGAACAAAGTCTGTCTAGAAAATAAAACATAAATAACTCTTGCTGATATTCTGATCCTTCTATCTCTTTCTTATTTGAAACGCACAGATCTTGTATTGCATGGTCATCAAATTTCCTTCTATCTGGCCAGGCACAGTGGCTCATGCCTATAATCCTTTGGGAGGCAGAGGTGGGAGGATCTCTTGAGGCCAGGAGTTTGAGACTAGCCTGGGCAACATAATGAGACCCTGTTTCTACAAAAAACAGAAAAAATTTAGCCGGGCATGGTGGCTTGTGCCAGTAGTCCTAGCTACTCAGGAGGCTAAGATGGGAGGATCATTAGAGCCCAGAAGTTCAGGCTGCAGTAAGCTGTGATCATCCCACTATACTCTAGCCTGGGTGACAGAACAAGACTCTGTCTCAATAGGGGAAAAACCTTAACAAATTTCCCTATATCCATCCTACTATGTTTTGATTGTTGGATTAGACTGAGAATTCACAAACCAGTGGCACATTACAGGGCATAATGCCAAGCCCTACTCTAGCATCCTCTGAAGTTAAAAATTATCCTTTACACTTTACCTTTTGACTAGCATTTTATTCCTTTACAAAATTTCCCCCTCCCTTTTTATATTAGCACGAGCCTTAAGTTTGAACCTTTTGCTTTCTGGTTTGAGATAAAGCTTCTGACTGATATTAGAAATGAATTCAGTTTTTTACTCACTACTTTGCTACCTCTGGAGAATTTCTTATATTGTTCATTGTGCTCTTAGGTTCTTAAATGTTAGAAACCACAGGGATCAATACCAAGCTTTGAAGCCTCGATTGCCGTTGGCCAGTATGGATGAGAATGCCATGGATGCCAACATGGATGAGCTATTGGATTTGTGTACTGGAAAGTTTACGTCTCAGGCTGAAAAACGTCTACCCAGGAAGAATGACAAGAAAGAGAACATGGAGGAACTTCTGAATCTTTGTTCAGGAAAATTCACTTCTCAGGGTAAATATCCAACAAAGAGCATAGGGCTTACCACACCCAAATATCAGTATCCTTGAAAAGAAGCCCTGTAAGTCAGTGTCTTTGAAAAGAAGCCCCTTATCCTCAGGTGAAAAGTTCATGGCAAACAGGCTGTGGTGGAATTTTGCATATGAATTGAATTCACTGTTTAGCTTTTACTAAGAGCTTTTACTTTCTTTGAGTGGCAAAGTGTTAACTTAAGACTGCTTTACCTTTAGCCATATGATTAATCTATGTACAAAGCTTAGAACAGTGTTTGGTATATAGTTAATTTCAATAATAAATAATTTCAATAATGTTAACTTATTCCCCCCCCACACACACACACCTGCTAGAATGTAAGTTCAGTGAGAGCTGGGATCTGTTTTGTTCACTACTATATCCCTGGTGTTTGGCACACAGTAAGCACCAAGTAAGGATTTGTTGAATAAATCGATGGTGAGCTCTTTTTGACAAACTTATCTTAGAACTGTATTGAGGTGGCATGTCTTTACATGGCTGGGAAAAGAGGATAAAGCTGTCATTCCTTGGTGACAGATCTTTTCCTTGTTGTGATGTAGATGCCTTCACCCCGGCTCTATCAGAGTTAAATAAGCAGGAGAAGGAGAGCAGCCTGGATGATCCAATGGAAGAAGCACTTGCTCTTTGTTCAGGCTCTTTCCCAACAGACAGGTGAGTCTCAGAGATTGGTGGAAACGTAGGAAGACCCAGCCTTTTAATAAAATTGTGGAATCATGTTCTCTGGGCTTAGCGATAACTGATCATGTAGAGGGCTGCATGTCTTGTCTGAGATTCTTGTGGTGGATTTGAGTCTCATATTTGCACAGTAATAGTTTTGAGGAGAACAGGATAAAAAAAGGCAAGAATAAACACATGCAAGATGCTTAACTTCAGTAATAGGGAAATGCAAATCAAAACAACACCCATTAGGATGACTATTATCAAAAAAATAAAACAAGTGTTACAATGTGGAGGAATTGGAAACCTTGTGTATTGTTGGTGATAATGTAAAATGGTGCCACCACTAGGGAAGATGATATGATGATTCCTCAAAAATTAAATTAAATTAATTGCCATATGATCCAGCAATTCCACTTTTTAGTATATATACCAAAGAGTAAAAGCAGGGACTTGAACAGATATTTGTACATCCATGTTCAAAGCAGCATTATTCACAATACTCAAAACGTGGAAGCAACCAACCCAAGTGTTCATTGACAGATGAATGAATAAACAAAATGTAGTATATACATACAGTGGAATATTTAGCCTTAAAAGGGATATTCTGACACATGCTACAACATGGATGAAACTTGAGGACATTACACTAAGAGAAATATGCCAGTCACAAAAAAACAAATAGTGTATGAATCCACTTATATGAGGTACTTAGAGTAGTCAAACTCATAGAGATAGAAAGTAAAATGGTGGTTGCCTGGGAGTGGGGATAGGGGAGGATGCAGATTGTTTAATGGGTATAGAGTTTCAATTTTGCAAGATGAAAAGAGTTTTGGAGATTGCTCGTACAACAATGTAAATGTACTTAACACTACTGAACTGTGTACCTACAGATGGTTAAAATGGTAAATTTTATGTTATGTGTATTTTACCACAATTGAAATTTTTTTTAAGGGTAAGATATCTTGGCCGGGTGTGCGGTGGCTCACACCTGTAATCCTAGCACTCTGGGAGACCAAGGCGGACGGATTGCTTGAGGTCAGGAGTTTGAAACCAGCCTGAGCAAGAGCAAGACCCCGTCTCTACTATAAATAGAAAGAAATTAATTGGCCAACTAATATATATAGAAAAATTAGCTGGGCCTGTGGCACATGCCTGTAGTCCAGCTACTTGGGAGGCTGAGGCAGTAGGATCACTTGAGCCCAGGAGTTTGAGGTTGCTGTGAGCTAGGCTGATGCCATGGCACTCACTCTAGCCTGGGCAACAAAGCAAGACTCTGTCTCAAAAAAAAAAAGATATCTTATTTCCTGTTTCTTGAAGAAATTGGTGCTAATAAAATATTTTAAATATTTTTGGTGCTAATAAAATATTTTGGTGCTAAATAAAATAAAGTGGTGCTAATAAAATATTTTAAATTCTTGCTGGGCATAGTGGCTCACCCTTGTAATCCTAGCACTTTAAAAGGTAGAGGCAGGAGGATTGATTGAGGCCAAGAGTTCCAGACCAGCCTTAGCAAGAGCAAGACCCTATCTCTACTAAAAATAGAAAACTTAGCCGGGCGTGGTGGTATATGCCTGTAGTCCCAGCTACTCAGGAGACTGAGGCGATCACATCACTTGAGCCCAGGAGTTTGAGGTTGCAGTGAGCTATGATGACACCACTGCACTCTAGCCTAGAGGACAAAGCAAGACCCTGTCTCAAAAAAAACAAAACAAAACTCTTAACTTGGCTGACTACTTGTAGTTTGCAACAACTTATTTATTGATTCACTGATTTGCCTTTTAGGGAAGAAGGTGAAGAGGAGGAATTTGGAGACTTTCGGCTTGTTCCAAATGATAATGAGTTTGATAGTGATGAGGTGAGTATGAAGGGAAAAAAGTAATAACTGCATTGTTGCCTTCAGGTTGTTTTTTATTCCCCCTGAGTTTTTGAGAATTCCAAGTTTGGCATCTTATCAGTAGCAATTTCCTAGAATGAGGTGTTTGGGCAGAAGTTTATAAATCCTGTTTTAGTTGTAGACACATTTTATTCTGCTTAACTCTGGATATGATACTATAATTTTGCAGGATGAACACAGTGACTCTGGGAATGAAGATCTAGGACTGGAAGACCATGAAGAAGATGATGAAGAAGAACTCCTAAAGCAATCTGAGAGGTTGAAAAGGCAAATGTAGGTGTTACGTCCATTCTTTCAACTGCTGGAAAGTTCCAGTAACAGTTGAGTTGTAGCTTATCACCTTTTTTACCTAAATGTGATGGCTCTATTTTTGCTTTTTGTGGTTAACACAGAACAAACAAAATCCCTCTTCCACATGACATCTCTTGAATATTCAGAGATGCTCATGTCTTCCTTAAATGACTTCTGTACTAAACACATGTAGTTCCCTCCACAACTAGTGACATTTCTAGTGACATTGCTTCCAGTCTTCTCATGTCTTGGATATTCTCTTTATCCTCAGATAGGGTCTGACTACTCCCTTGTACCGGATGCATACTACTTATAATGTAACCAAAGATCATAAGAACTAAGTCACTCTAGACCCTGAGGATCTAGTAGGAAACTAAGATTCCCTGGGTCTTTTTTCCAGGGAATTGCTGTCATTCCAGGTTTTCCTCATCCTTGTCTTGGGCAAATGACCCACTTTATTTTTTTAATATTTTTTGTTCTGATCATGAAAATAAAACATTTATTTTAGAATATTTAAAAGAATGCTAAAAGATATAAATAAAAGCTGTCCATGTCTACCATCCAGGATACATGTGAAAGTGTTGATGGTGGTTATTTCCCTTTAACCTTTTCTATGCATATATTTTATAAAGTTTTGATTTATACAATCTCTTTTGTATATATAATTTTGCATCTTGCTTTTTTCCTACTTAGCATATCCATAAACATTTTCTTATGTTAAAGTTTCATAAAGACAATTCTAATAGGTATTCAATATTATATTGCATGTGAATGATTTGGAATCTACATATAGGACATCATATTGATCCCTATGAGATTTATATTGTTGCTTTTATCCCATCATTCCATTGTACAGGTGTCCCAAAAGTCTCCATACAAAGGAAACATTTTGTTATGAATATTTTGTAAATAAAGGTACATTTAATTAGAATTTCCCATTTTCCCTATGTATGGCGACTTTTGGGACACCCTGTATTAGGATCCACTTTCGGTTCTAATTTGTTACCTGTCAAATTAACTCTCATACAGCTTTAGATCATCCATAGATTTTTCTAAGGTAGTGGCCTCCCAAAGTGTTAGGGTTATAGGCACGAGCTACCTCATCCAGCCAAGTGATCAACTTTTAAATAAAGATGCTTCTCAACTTACAACAGGACTGCATCCCAATCAAGCCATCATAAGTTGAAAATACACATTCAACTTATCTGGATATAAGCCCATCATAAATTGAAGAACATACTCAATGTGTATTGCTTTCACACCATTGTAAAGTTGAAAAATCATTAAGTCCAACCACTATAATAGGGGACTGCCATCTGTTCCAAAAAACTTACTTTAAATATTATCATAATGTATTCTAAATTTAAGCATATTATTGTTATTAGAGGTGGCCCTGTGTTCTACTTTTCTCGTTGCCTCCATATTCTCTATGTATATTCATTGTTGCATTTTCTAATCTTCAAAATTGCTTTGTAGGAGATTGAAGAAATACTTGGAGGATGAGGCAGAGGTGTCAGGAAGTGATGTGGGAAGTGAAGATGAGTACGATGGGGAAGAGATTGATGAATATGAAGAGGACGTAATTGATGAAGTACTTCCTTCCGATGAGGAATTACAGAGTCAAATCAAGAAAATACATATGTCAGTATCCCAACAGGCCCTTCTATGTAATAGGGTACATCTTAAGGCAGGCCCTATAACAAGTCAGAATGGTCCTGGTTTTAAACACCTTATTTATCCTGTTGTAGGAAAACCATGTTGGATGATGATAAGCGACAGTTACGTTTATACCAAGAGCGGTACCTTGCTGATGGGGATCTGCACAGCGATGGTCCTGGGCGAATGAGGAAATTCCGATGGAAAAACATAGGTATCCTGGCTGTTGCCTTTAGAAGCAAACAGAGTGTACATGTTTCTCTAGTTTGAGGTGGCAAATGTAATTCAGAACTGTAACAGGCTATGTGGAGGACCTAACTGTAACCATTGTTTTCTTTTAGTGGATGGGAAAAGTTTATATTAATATATAGTAAATGATAAGTGTTTATTCTGTGTCTGTCCAAGCACACACTCCTGTGAGGACTGCAGAATGCTGATAGCCTTAACTCTTTGCTTTAGATGACGCTTCCCAGATGGATTTGTTCCACAGAGATTCTGATGATGATCAGATCGAAGAACAGCTTGATGAGACAGAAGCCAGATGGAGGAAGGAACGAATTGAACGAGAGCAGTGGCTTCGGGACCAGGTAGGAAGTCTGCAAGAAAAGAGAAAGAGAGGACCCAGTCACTTGGCTTGTCATGACAGTTTCAAAATCTTAGGCAACATATTGGTGTCACTTTTAATCCTTGAGTTTTCTTTTGTACTTTGAGAAGATTAGCATGGGCAATTCTCTTTATGTTTGTTTTTCCAAAATCAATTTTTGGGTACTTGTCCAAAGGAGGAAAGGTTGCAAAAAGGAAAAGAAATGATATCCCAGGTACCCTAGTTTCACCACCTAGGCTAATGCTAACTATTCAGGAAGGCTATAGACTTTTCTGTTAATGCTGTGTGGTTTTTATTTTCAGGCACAGCAGGGGAAAATTACAGCTGAAGAAGAAGAAATTGGGGAAGACAGTCAGTTTATGATGCTAGCCAAAAAAGTTACAGCCAAAGCACTGCAGAAGAATGGTAAGCTCTTGTTTCTTCTCAGGGGCTAACCCCCTGGATCGTCAGTGCTAGAGCCTTGGAGGTGACTCTAACCTTCAGGGACTGTTGTAGCTTGGTCAGAAGCTTATGTCTAATACTGTCTTAAAAAGGCCTCACAGAGATAGGGAGAGACAGTATACTTGGATCTTAGATTATTGGGCAGTAGAGGTTGTACTTGTGAGTATATGTAGCTGGTTTTGCTTTATGTTCTAAGGCTCAGAGTAGTGAATTCTGGCTTCTCTGTTTAGTTGCCCAGGATCATATACCTAAGTGTTAGAGCTGTGATTTGAACCTAGGAATATTTAAATCCAGAAATTAAGCTCTAAAACACTATTCCATGCACTTACTACTTTTGTTTTTTCTTAAACCATTACTGTTAATGATTAATTAATAAGTTCAACTTAGTTGTCTGTTTTCTCAGAGCCACTTGCTGTAGTTCCAAAGTTACCATTAAAAAATAATCAGAGTTCCTATGGCTTTAGCTTATTGGTTTAGTTATACAAGGTTTCTTAGTTTTTTTAGATTTCAAAGTATTTCTAACTGGCCTTACCAGTAACAGGCCTCCTATCTTTTCTTTCCAGCCAGTCGCCCTGTGGTTACTCAGGAATCAGAGTCTTTACTCAGAAACCCTTTTGAAGCCATTAGACCGGGAAGTGCTCATCAGGTTGGTTGGGGACCTAGTTAATATGATGTTATGGTCTGCGGGTTATAAAGGCCCAGGTCAAGCTAAGGGAATAGTTGCTGTCATTAGAGGAGAGAGGTGGCTACAGGAAATGGAAATAAGGAGGCTGCTATTTCCTTTCTACTTGAGGAGGATAGGAATATGGCCCCTCAATACCTAGGGGGGAGGCAGAGAGGGAAGGTTTTTTCATTCTTTTCATGGCACTTGGGATTTGATACCAGATGACTCTTTTCCTCAGCTCAAGACAGGCTCACTGCTAAACCAACCCAAAGCTGTGCTTCAGAAACTGGCTGCCCTTTCTGACCTCAACCCCTCTGCTCCCCGAAATTCAAGAAATTTTGTCTTTCATACACTTTCTCCTGTTAAGACTGAGGTGGCAAAGGAATCATCTAAACCTCAGGTAGGAAATGTAAGAACTAATTTGATGGCTTCCCAAACCAGAATTTATTTATTTATTTTAATTTAAAAACAAAAATTTTGGCTTAACAGCTTGTGCTGCAATGTTGAAATCCTGCACTCCCCAGTAAGGTAAAAGGGAATTGCTATACCCAGTAATTAGCTTTTAAACTTGCCTGGAAAGTCTGTTTTTTTTTTTGTCTGTTGTTAATCATCCATGATTTGACTCTGAGTTGCTTAAGAGTTAATTGGGCTGAGTGTGGTGACTCAGGCCTGAAATCCCAGCACTGTGGGAGTTTGAGACCGGCCGGGGCAACATAGTGAAATCCTGTCTCTTTAAAAAATTTAAAAATTAGCCCTGCATGGTGGTTGTAGTGCATGCCTATAGTCCCAGCTAAGCTGGAGGCTGAGGCTGCCTGGAGGCAGGAGGATCATTTGAGCCCAGGAATTTGAGGTTGCAGTGAGTTGTGATTGGGCCACTATACTCCAGCCTGGGTGACCAGGGTGGGGATGAGGGCTCTGTTTCTTTTTAAAAACAAACAAACAAACAAAAAAGGCCTTATTGAAGGTAAGTACTTATATGTGGGTCTTGAGCTGGCCCTGACTTCCTCTCTGTTCTCTAGGTAAAAAGAAGGGGTCCATCTTTAATGACATCCTCTTCACCTAAGCGCCCCAAAACAGATGAAAGCACTTCAAGATTGAAACAAAGCATCTTCAAATTCTTGGAAAGCTAACACCATCAAGGCTGCCAGCATCTAAGTTGAGACTGTTTTGAGAAATTTCTGGCATTGGAAGATGGAACTGACATGTTGATGGTCCCTCCTTCTTTCATAATCAATGCATTAAGACTGTGGATTCCAGTTCTTTCTACTGCACAGCTCTGGACATCTTTCCTTTCCTAGTATTATTTCCTGGGTTGGTCACTAATCATAATTCTGCAGTGTTTACAACACCGACTCATGGAATACTTGGGTGGAGTTTCACTTCCTCCATTAAACATTTGACATCTTATGCTAGCATTCCTGGATTGATATCTCCTTGTGACAAAGGTGGTTGGAGAAAGACGAGGGAAAAGTATTACGTTATAGAAGATTACAGAAAACAGTTAAAGTCAGTACCATAATGACTCCTTCATACCCATAAGATCCATACCTTGGTGACCAGGACCCAGTGAAGGAGAGACTTCTTATATGGAGGACCTAGGAACCAACAGATGGGCTGTTATATTAGTCTTGCTCTCCATTTTCCTGTATGCTTCCTTCCAAGGCAGTCTCAAATTCCTAATTAAATTTTGTTGCTTAATAAGGACTTAAACTGGTACACAAGTCAGAAAGACCTTGGCCCTAATTTTCTGGAGCATGGAGAGGAAGATAAATGGTCACACCCAGTGTTTGTCCATGTTAGTTTGTTGAGTAGAGAGACCTTTCCTGGGACTAAATTCTCAATTCGAAACACTGTTGCTCAAGGACCTCCCTTCTCAGTCTGGCAAGAAGAAACATAACCATTATTTATTGCATTTTCCTGGTGTGGGTACATTGTTCTGACTAGTTAAGGGACATTTTAGTATTTCATTACTAATTTTGAGAGAAAACCATCACAGATTTTAATAAAAATATTGTTGAGAATTGCCATCATTCTCCATTTTCCCTGAACACCACAAGGCTTTCAGAATTTTGGACAAGTTCCTACCCCGCCCCGCCCCTGAACTGAGCATCAGTGCTGTTTTGGAAAAAACGCTGTTTGTGAATGTTGTGGGTTCAGTGTCAGGAGATGGACTTGGGGATTTGGATGGTATTATGCCAGTTTTGTATTGGGAAATGGGGAACACCAATTTTACTGATGAATTTAGATTATAGGTTTTCTACAGGTTTTTCTAATACTCTGCTGACTTTGACAGAACTCATGTTTGTATATTTGTAATATTGTAATGGGGAAAATGTATAAAAATGTTTTAATATGTATGTTGTTTTTCAATAAATCTCAATGCCTTGAAGGGAGGATTTGGAATCTAGCTTGAATGCCCATTCTTAGGTCAGTGCCTATCTAATGTTGAGGAGTATTTCATTTTCAGGGTATCTCCCTCCAAGGGAAATCCTCTGGGTCTAGAGGGACAGGCTGCTGCGGTTCTCCTTTCACTGGCATCTCAGCCCCAATGAATGGATCAAATTAACTTACCAAGTGGTTTGGGTTCAATGTTAAGTAAGGGGGAGGGTTTATGTAAATATACCTGTTGGTGCAGCTCCTTGATTGGTGCTTCCTCTTTAGCTGTCTTTGCATGGACTTCATTATAGCTGCGGGTCCAAGGTGAGAGTTATTGCCTCTCTCCTTGAGCTCTCTAAACAGTGCCCAAGGCTGGGCAGTTCTTGCTGGGCAAAAGAGCACTGGGAAGGAGAGCTAGATATTTCTTTCCTCTTGCTTCCCCATATGCCTTTTTTGGGGAGAGATAGAGAAGAGGATTAGAATTGACCACTGAGGACAAGAAAATTAGTGCCTGAGAAAGATGGGGAATAAATGGTTTCTGAGGCTCCAGGGAGAAAGCACTCTTTGGAGAAAGAAAAGTTAGTAGAGTCTTAAACTCTGGCACTTTTTCTCATGCCACTATAGCTGCCATAAGGCAAGCTAAGCCTTGACCTTGGTAATAGGTTTGAAAAGAGAGTTTTGACCTGACCTGCACGCCTTTTGCCCAAAGCACTGAGCCATCAGCATCAGCTATGTTTTAGTGACATCTGAGCCTGGAGGCCTGCTGCTATGGCTCCTAGTAGGACTTAGCTCCATTAGCTTGCAAATTACAGATTTGGAGGAATGAGAGCTTGTGAGTCTGGGATCTCATTAATTCAGTCCACAGTTGCATAAGCCCTACTAGGGTCTCCTCCATAAAGCATCAGCTTATAGTCACCAAAGCTCTGACAAGGTGCTCAGATCTCTGTGGGATCCCTTATCTTCTCACCTGATTGTCCATAAACTTCTCACTTTGAGAATTTTGTAATGGTCAGGCTGGAAGACTTTTTAGTGGAAATTTTTGGTTCTTATCTCCTAGAGTTATGTCTAATAACTCGGGGCTTCCTGTCCTGGGACTTGTATAACTAAAGGATAGGGCAGAGTATTTCTTGGAGGAATGTTGTCACCTGTCATGATACTATTTGATACCTGATCCTTGAGATAGTATTGCATCTTCTATCTTTATTTTCTACTCATGGCCTGGTACACAGTTTAGAATGTAGTGGTGCCCAGTAAAGTTGGAATAAATAATATCACCTTTCAGAGCCTCTTTTTGTATCTTTTTTTTTTTTTTTTTTTGAGACAGAGTCTCGCTTTGTTGCCCAGGCTAGAGTGAGTGCCATGGCGTCAGCCTAGCTCACAGCAACCTCAAACTCCTGGGCTCAAGCAATCCTGCTGCCTCAGCCTCCCGAGTAGCTGGGACTACAGGCATGCGCCACCATGCCCGGCTAATTTTATATATATATTAGTTGGCCAATTAATTCTTTTTTTTATAGTAGAGACGGGGTCTCGCTCTTGCTCAGGCTGGTTTCGAACTCCTGACCTCGAGCAATCCGCCCGCCTCAGCCTCCCAGAGTGCTAGGATTACAGGCGTGAGCCACCGCGCCCGGCTCTCTTTTTGTATCTTTAAAATGAAGATACTAATTCAAGTCTATCTTGGGGTTGCTGTGAGGTTAAGTTGGAAAATGTATGTCAGTGTATCATGTCAAGGGGGGAAGGGGGCATGGGCAATATAAGTAACCTTAACACTTGTACCCCCATAATACGCTAAAAGAAAAAAAGAAAATAGAATAGGTCTATCTGGCTGAATGAAATGAAAGAAATAAGAGAAGATGACAACTTAAATATTTCTTTGGTACTATTTATGGGTACAGTCTCTAAGGTGACCCCCATGAATCCTACCTCCTGGTATTCATGCTTTATGTAATCCATCTCCTTTAGTATGGATGGATCTATTACTTGATTCTAATCAACAGAATATGGCAAAGGTGATAAGAAGTCACTCCTATGATTATATTACATTATGTGACTCTGTCTTCTAGCATACTTGCTCTAGAGACTCTCCTTTCTGGCTTGATGAAGTAGCCATGTTGGGAAAGCCCACCAGACAACTGTAGGTGGCCTCTAGGAACTGTAGGTGGCCTTGAGATACTGAGAGTGGCCTCCAGCTGACAGCCAGCAAGAAGTCAGAGCACTCAAGTCCTACAACTGCAAAGAAATGAATTCTGCTAACAACCTGAGTTAGGAAGAAGATTCTTCCCAAGTCAAGCCTCCAATTGAGAATACAGCCCAGACAACATCTTGACTACAGACAGACCAAGCTGGATCCAAAGAAACTGTGAGAGAATAATTGTATGTTGTTTTAAGCTACCACGTGTGTGGTCATTTGTTACACAGTAAAGAAAACTAATACAATGCTGTAGTCATGAAAAAAAAAAGTGTATCATGTCAAGTACTACTCTGCAAACATAAGAAATTGCCAGTATCACAATTGCATCATATTTTATGGGCCACTTATTAAAGGCCATTGTCTCACAAACATTTCAAACTTAACATTTTTAAAAATTCTATCTTTCCCTAAAAACCTGCTCTTCCTCCTGTATTCTTCCCATTTTAGTAAATGGTACCTCCACCCACCCAGTCACTCCTGTTGGAAACCTGAAGGGCATTCTTAACACCTCCTTCCTTAATCCCTTAACCAGACAATCTCCAAGTACTGTTATTTCTAGTGCCAAACTGCATCTTGAATCAGCTCACTTCTTGTAGCTCTATGGCTGATGCCCTGCTCCAAAGTTCTGTAATTTCTTTCTCAGGTACTCTAGTAGCCTCCTTGTAGATCTCCCCGCTTTTGTTTTTGTTTCCCTTGCATCCAGTCTGCACAGCAGCCAGAGGGTGACCTTTGTATAAATATAATTTGGAGGATGCCACTCCCCTATTTAAAACCTTTTAATGTCTTCCTTTGCTCTCAGAATAAAGTTCAAACTCCTTACAGCCTAGAAGGCACTGTGTGATATAGCTCTGCCCCCAACCTCCTGTCCACTCTTTTCTTACTAACTCAGCCTTAGGACCTTCTAAAGTGTCCCTCCCTTTTCCTGGAATACCCTCCCCATAACCTCCTTTTTTCCCTGACTAACATATAATTCTCAAGATGTTAGCTTAAAGCTAACTTCCTCAGAGATGCCTTTTTTGACCATTGCCACCCCTTTCTTAATTAGGTCACCTGTGTTAAAGTTGCCTATTCTTTTGAGTCTTTTATCGTGGTGTGCTACCTTAATGTTTGTTGAAGTCTGCCTTCCCTACTAGACCGTGAGCTCTGTGAAAACAGAGACCATATCTGTTTTGTTAAAAAAAAAAAAAAGTTTGCTTTGGGTAGTGTCATGCTTGGCACATAGAATTATTCAATAAATATTTTTTGAGCAGTAAATGATGGAAGGCCTGGAAGAGCTGATGGTGAAAAGCTTGAAGCCAAATTGCATACAAAGGAGATTTCTAGTGTAGGATAGGATAGAGGTGGTTCCTATGTGAGACCTTGGGTCCTTGCTCTTTGTGCAACTTATAAGTGGGATGACTTTGGGTAAGTTGTTTTTTCCTCAAGTGGAAAGTGAGGCTCATGTGAAAAGACCTGGTTTAGCTCACAGGGTATGGTTAGAATCAAAAGTACAAATGAACGTGAAATGATTGTGCATATTTAAGAGGCTGCACTAATGCAGGCTGACCCCCTGCTGAGGAAGGGGTGGCCCTGATACCTCCTCATGCTCTGGCTGAGTAGGAAGGAGGGGCCAAGCCTCAACAGAGCTCCACAGTCCCTTGACGGTGGCGAGCTGTGTGCTGGGACTTACCACAGCGGTGGGAATGACGGCCTGCGTGTGTGCCTGGATTCTCGCAGTGAACTGAAGAAACAGGCATGGCTTTGTGGATGGCTGGTGTCACCTCAGATTTTTACCTTTTGAGGCCAAGGTGTCAGATCTCTCTGTCCCCAGCGGTTGTATTGTCTCAGTCTGTACTGTCCACATCCTTCCCATCCTCTTTCTGACCTCTCTTCTCTCACCTTAAAGGTTTTTCATTTTCAGTTTATTGATCTCATTCTTCCCTGTGGTGGGATACATAATGGAAAAGGGGGGTTTGCAGTAGCCACAGCCCAAGGGTGACTAGAGGAAGCTGCGGGGCTGGACGCCTGGGTTCTTTCCCTTCATTTTAGAGAGAACCGCGGTCGGTGGTATTTTTCATGGCTGGTGGGCGAGAGGTAGGGGTGAGAGGTAGGGGCGGCTGGTGGGCGAGAGGTAGGGATGGCTCCCAGCTCCAGAGTGGAGAATCTCTGGGCCTAGACCAAGGGGTAAAAGTGCTGGGGCAGGGTTGGGAGGGAGTCATGGTTTGGGTTTTTCAGTCCCCATCTCTTTCTCAGAGACCGAGGGAAGGAAAAAAGCTAACTGCCCACCCTCTCTTTGTTTGTCTTGTCTAATTTAACTTACGTTATTTATCAAAAAGACAGGTTATTTGGAAAACCAGATGGACCCAGGCAAAAATCATCTGGGTTTTCCAAACGTGAAAAATTAGGTTCTGGGGGCCCAGGAGGGAAGGCATTGTGTGTGTGTGTGTGTGTGTGTCTGGTTGGGCAGGGGTGAGGAATATTGAGTGAATGTCTCTGTAGTCAGATCCAGAAATTATTCCATGACATTCAAGCACTCTCCCCCCGCCTGTTCCCTTCAAGTTCTTTATGATTAGAATCTAAATGAGAAAATTAAAACCTTCATGTTGGTCACTGCGTGTGCCGAAAATCTTCATTGACCAAGGATGGGAAGATGTCAGGGCTATGGAAAAACAGCAGCTGACAGCACTCTCTCTCCAGCCCTCTCCCCCTTCCACAGAGCCAGTAGGTTAGTGGCAGGTATAGCGTATTGAGAGTTTTTGGAGCAGTAACCTCTATCTCTTGTCTCTTCAAAGTTATTGTCCCAAAATGGTCACAGCAGATATGGAAATTTTAGACATTAGGGAAGAACTTACCCTCTCATAACTTCCTGATGATCCAATGACTAAAGGACACTGGGGAGGCAGGGTATGGTGGCTCACGCCTATAATTCTAGCCCTTTGGGAGGATGAAGCAGGAAGGTTACTTGAGGTCAGGAGTTCAAGACCAGCCTGAGCAAGAGTGAGATCCCCATTTCTACTAAAAATAGAAAAAATGAGCTGGGTATGGTGGTGCTCACCTATA